ATCTATCTGTAGATTACAGTGGGGTATTGAGGTTTCCCACAGTGGAAAACCTCAATAATAATGTAGTTGGTTGCCCCAATGTTTGGTGCATTTATGTTAAGAATCATTATTTTCTCTTGATGAATTGTTCCTTTAATTAATCTGAAGTGACTTTCATTGTCTCTTCTGACTAATTTTATTCTGAAGTCTACTTGTCAGATGTAAGAATAGCTACTCCTGTTTGCTTTTTAGCATCCATTTGCTTGAAAAATAATTTTGCACCCTTTCACTGTAAGCCAGTATTTGTTTTTCTCAATGAGATATGTTTCTTGTAAGCAACGTATGGTTGGGTCTTGTTTTTTAATCCACTTTACTATTCTATATCTTTTGACTGAGGCATTGAGACCATTAACAGTCAGTGTTAGTATTTAGAGGTGTGTGGTGTTTTGGGTTATTTTTATTCCCCTTATGTTTACTTTTCCCCTCTTGCTTGTTTACTAGTCTGCTTGTTCAGTCTTTCTTGCATTTTCCTGGCTTTAATTTCTTCTTCTGTATGCAAGAGTGCTGCAGTGCTGGTGGTCATGAATTCTTTTAGTTTTTGTTTGTTCTGGAATGTTTTCATTTCTCCTTCAATTAGGAAAGATAGTTTTGCTGGATAGACCACTCTAGGTTGACAATTATTATTCTTTCAGGGCCTGAAATATATCTTCCCATGACCTTCTTGCTTTTAGAGTTTGTGTTGAGAAATCTGCTATTCTAAAGGGGTTGCCTTTATATGTAACGTGTCTTTTCTCTTTTGCAGCTTTGAGTATTCTTTTTTTGTTCTGTATATTGTGTGTTTTGATTATGACACATCTGGGTGAGTTTCTTTTCTGGTTCTGACGGTTTGGTGTTCTGAAGCCTCCTGAACCTGGATGTCTCTCCCTTTCAGCTATTACATTATTGAGTAAATTAATCTATGTCTTTAGTTTATCATTTCTCCCCCTATACCTGTGATTCACAGATTTGGTCTTCTGATGGTGTCCCAATGTCTTACATGTTCCATTCATATTTTCTTAGCATTTTTTTTCATGGTCTGATTCCTCTACATTGTCTTCTGCTTCTGATACTCTATTTTCAACTTGCTCCACTCTGTTAGCAAAGCTTTTGATTGAAGTTTTTATTTGTGATATTGAGCTGTTCATTTCAAATTGGTTATTTTTTTCAGGATTTCTTTATCTTTATTGATTTCCTCTTACATATCTTGCATGTTCTTCTTAATTGCAGTCATCTATTTGTTTTAATTCTCTTTGAGCTCTTTTAGTTGTTTGTTCATATCTTCTTCGAGTTCAAGACACTAGCTTGTGTGTCTCCTGTTTGAGTTCATTGATCACTTACTATTATTTTTTAGAATTCAATATTTTGTATTTTCTCCTTTTTGTGGTTATTTAGATCTTGAGTGGTAGAGTTGGCTTTTGAGGGAGAGCTAATGCCTTGTTGCTTCATGTTTCTGTGTTGAGTTATGCATCTGGGTTTGTTTTTAGTTAGAGGTTCCAATCCCCTGTGCCTCTTTAGTTGGGGTTCTATGAAAGATTATTCAGGAGTAGGTGGGGGTTGAGCTCTTGTGTTGTTTTCTTATCTCTCGATGAGGGGGTAGTGGCTCAATAGAAATCCCTTCAACTTCTTATCCCCAAGATGCTGGATTCTACTGTCTGTTCTACATAGGGCAAGAAGGCTTAACTAGTAAAGCTGTCACAGTTGTTAAACTGCAGTCTTGAAGTTACAATAATCCCTAATGAAGATTAATTACTGCTACTGTTTCAGTATCTTTGGTTGTCTGTTGAAGCAGAGAGGAATCTTTGTTGTCCTGAAAAGCTAAAGATAGTAAGGGTTGTAATGGGGTGGAGATGGAGGGGGCAGAGAAGCTCTAGTGAATAATATGAGGTGAAAAGTTTATGTAACAGAAAAGGGTGGTAGCTGACCTAATAGAAGGGATTAGTTAAGAGGCAGATAGGGATAGGTAGAAATGATCAAGTAGATAATAAGATGGGGAGAGGGAGGGAGAACAATGGAGAAAATTGAACAGACAAACAAGTATAAACTCCACAGAACAGAAAAAAAAATCAAAAATCTGAGAATCTCTTTATTAAAAGTGTTGGTAGTAAAGGAGAATTTGGGGTGGGTAAACAGAGAGAAAGGAAGTTGATAGCTAGGAAGTTCTAGTGGTTGACAGAAAGAAAATGTAGGTTGGGAAGGGTGGTAGAAAAGGGAAGGAGAAGAATGGTTTAGGGTTGCAAACTCAAAGGTGGTTATGGGGCTTCCCATACTGTGACTCCAGTGACTACAGTTGGGAGAGAGAGGTGGGCCTACAGAGAAAATTGGGGATCGAGAATGCAAAACTGCTGTTGGAATGTGCAGAAAAAGAAGCTGCAAATAAAGGAGTAAAAAAATCTACATCACAGATTTAGCAGCAACAAACACAAATTTTATGTAAAAATTGCGAACCGTGTCTGAGTCTTTCAGTCTACTAGATGGCAGCTAAATTTGATATCTGCCTGTGGAATGGCGTCTGATGCTGGAGAGAGGGCAGTGTTTAAAGATCTAAGTAGGATGTCTGGAGTTTGTACTATCAACTTGCCAGCCTCACCCCATCCATACTTGCAATTTTCTCCTCTCTCAAGGTCCCAGAATTTACAGTCAGTAGTTATAAAGAAATGCAGGACTTTGTCCAGATGTCCTCACTGGTGGAGGTCTCTGGTGGGGTTGTAGTTGCAATTCGCTGTTGGTAGCCTTGTCCCTGCTACCATACTGTTCACTAGGCAACTTTTTAAGCCACACTGTGTCACGTTCCCTGAGACCTCTGTAGGCTGCCACTGGGTCCCTGTAAGTTCTCCCTGGTACGTACCTATTCCTCGCTGGCCTTCACTGCTCCCTGCAGTGGGTGCCTGGGCTCCGGAGTGTGGGGGCAGTCACACAGCCTCCAGGGAAGCTTAGTGGTCTCCAGAGAGGTTGTTCGTTCAAGGGCCTGCAGCTCGGTGAGACTCCACTTCTGCTTGCTGGATCCCAGCAGCTTTCTTCAGCAGGTTGCATGCAGTGTAGCCAGATGGGTTGTAGTCCTCTCTGTGGTGTTGAGTGTTGACAGCGCAAATCACAGGTGGAAGTCAGAGATTCCACATCCATGAGTCTTGTGGGTCCAGGTCAACGCAGGCACTTTCAGAACTCATTCTGCAGTTCTCTGTGTTGGTTTTTTGCAATTCGGGGAGAGACTGAGAAATGGAAAACAAGACAAAGCAAAAAACACTCCCCAGCCATCAGGTGTGGCAGCCGGAATCCCTCCAGAGCTGTTTTGTGCTATAAAAATATAATTTAAAGATTGATCATTGTGCACTTGGTTGCCTGTACTTTGGCAGTATCTTACTTGGTGGAGTAGCAGGTGCCCCTGTCCTCAACAAACATTAGAACTTGATAAAGTTGAGAAGAAGTAGCTTGTGTCATTTTATGAACTTAAAATGTTTCTGAACTTAGCCGGGTGCTGGTGTCTCAAGCCTGTAACCTTAAAGGGCTGGAAGGCGAGGCTCAAGCCATAGAGCACCTGCCTACCTACCTAGTAAGTAAGTTCAACGCCCCAGTACCACCAAACAAAAAAAGTTTCTAGTTTTGGCTGTACTGGGGTTTGAACTCAGAGTCTTGCACTTGCTAGGGAAGCACTCTACCAATTAGCACTTTTTGCTTTTAATTATTTTTCATATGGTGTCATGTACTTTTTTGGCCCAAGCCAGCCTCAGATTGCAATCCTCTATCCATGCCTCCATTGTAGCTGGGACCAAAGGTATGCTCTACACACCCAGCTTCTTCATTGAGATGGGGTCTCAGTAACTTTTTCTCTGAGCTAGCCTTGGACCACAGTTCTCATGATCTCTGCCTTCCAAGTAGTTAGTACTGCAGGTGTGAGCTTCTGTTAAAATCTGAATGTCTTTATTAAATGAATCCAAAAAACCCATTTCTAGTAGAATTTTGAAAGTTCAAAGCTGAGTGTGGTTACACAGGCCTATAATCCCAGCACTCAGAAGGATGAGGCAGGAGGATCACCAATTTCAGGCCAGCCTGACCCTCTCATTGAGAAGGAAAGAAGGGGAGGAAGAAGTAAGGAACTTCATAATTTCTCAACAAATGTAAAGATACTTAATCATGTAATTTATTGCTCAATATAGAAATGGCAGGTACAGAACTGTAATCCAGATATCAGTTCTGATTCCTGAATATTTTCTTTGATATAACTAAGGACAGTCTCTGGCTGGATTCACCCAAAGCCAGTACCCTTAGGGATTTGTAGGGGAGCAGGGCTGTTGTAGATGACTGCCACAGAGGACCACAATTGGCTGCTCCCTTACTTCCCCTTCTGAAGGTATGACTAAACCTTTGGAAGCAAAGCGCCCACCCAGATTTAGAGCTGGGAGTACATCACTGAAGAAAGCCAAGTGTAGCTCTTCCAGAAGCACTTGCAGTGACCCACAGCCCCTTCAAGTTACGTGCTCCGTTTGCTTGTCATCTATACCCAGTGCCTTGTATGCGACAGGGACCCAGTACCTATCTGTGCAATGAATAGATGGATTTATGACATAAATGGCTGATTTTGTCACACCCTGCCTGGACAAGGATGTGGAGGTTAGACTGAGTGCATCATGTAGGGACTAAAGTGCCAGAGAGAGCCTGCGTGGAGAAGGCCTAGGTAAGAATATGATTCATTAGCATAGGGTCTTTGTCAGACTTTGAAATTTGTACTTGATTTTATAAGTACTACAAGAAGCCACTGTATGGTCCTAAACACTAAATAAATTGCAGAGTAATGACAGCATCATTGCTGCAAAGTCTGTCTGGCAGTGGTTTGGAGGGAAGAGGGTAGGTACTGAGGGCAAAGGAACCAGTAAGTACCTCTTTGAAGTATTTCAAGCACACCAATTTTCTTATTCCTGTATAAGATACCCCACCCCCCAATGTTTGGGTCTATTTAAAATGGTTTTATTTTTAAATGTGTGTATTAGATTCTGCTTCGTGAAGGCTGCAAGAAGATTCTTGTAGCTGACTCTTTGTCATTACTGAAGAAAATGCACCGAACTCAAATGAAAGGTGTTCTGGTTGATGGTGGGTAAAATTAAAATAATATTACAAGAAGAGGTGGAGAGGATAGAAGCAGAGCTTAATCAGAGTGTGTGCTTTCTTACAGAGGAAAATATCTGTGAATCATGCCTTGCCCCTGTCCTTCCTACAGGTAAGGTGCTTGGGGGGAAAATGAATTTCCCAAGTCTGTATGAATGACGAGTGGGATTGAGATTTTGAAATTAGCTACTTACTATCTAAAAAAATTACACCATCCAGTTTAGGGGAGGATTTCAGCCCACGTCCCCATATGCTCAGCTCAGTAATGCTGCTGCGATCTGCAGAGCCAAGACTTATGCTCCAGAATTCATCGGCATCTCCTGGAGCCTTGTGAAGCCCACAGTGCAGGCCCCACTCAGGGGCCAGGAGACAGCCTGAGAATGTGCCTTTCTGCCAGCTCTCAGGTCATGTCAATGCTGCTTAAGAGCCGCTCTTGGAGAACCACTCTTCTACAGTAAAACAAAACCAAAGAAAACTTACCATCCCTGTGTTTACATTCCAAGGGGGAAGAATTGTGTGGATATCTAGGGAAACTTTATAGGAATCTTCTCGGCTGTGTAGTTCTAGCCACCCAGGTTGTCTGGCAGCTCAGTGGAAGCATAGTACGCAGTATCTAATAGGACTGTGACTAAATGATACGTTGTTGTTTACTTCTATTTCTTGCCACGGGGGAACAATAATAAGCCCCTTACTTAAGGATCATTAGGACATGAGAAGAGGAAACTCACGGAACATGACAATAGAAATGAAAGCATAGTAGTCACTTCACTAAAAATGCTTTCTAAATACAAATTCAGTATGGGTAGACTCCCCTGACCTCATGTTTACATAACATTAAGGGCTGTTTACTGGGCAGTGGTATTAGGAGTCCTTCCACTTAGGTTCTTTTCTACACGAAGCAGATTTGAGTTTTTAAATGCCTCTATTAACACCATAGTGCACGCAGGGAAAGAAATGAGCTTTCATAGTGTTTCAACAGAAAGGAACACTGTGCAACTCTGAGCAGTTCACCTTGTACCAGAACCGAGGCGGCCGCACATTGAATGAGGGGACCTGTCTAAGAAGTGAAACGCAGGGCCACAGCCTGGGCTCTGACCCAAGTTGCCTGGGACATCAGTGAAGACCTGGGAAAGCATTTTTATAAGCCACAGACTGGACTTCAGAATGTGGTCTGTAAAGATTAGATGTGGCTGGTTGCAGCCCACATAAGCACATGCACATACTCATTCTAGGTTTTGAAAATAGATATTGCTGTATTTGCTGTGAAATTGTCCGCTTTTATTGTCTTTGGTAACTGACACAGAGTTCAAGCAAGTAACCTATGAATCACAATTCAAGCAGCACAATTACAGTACCAGCCTTGTGTTTGTTCACTCCACCCCTCAGGAATGCTTCTGTGAGATGGCCATCCTTAAAGGGTGAACAATTAAACCACAGCTGTACTTTATCAGGAATGGCTTCACAGTTTCCTGGTCTGCTTGTTATACTGAGTGTCTCTCCTTTCTTCTTCTCCCAACCCTCCCCAGATGCAGCTAAGCCCTTCAGCGTGGTGGTCTTCCACTGCCGGCACATGTTCCACAAGGAGTGCCTGCCCGTACCCAGTATGGTGAGTTGGCACTGCAGTACCTGTCAGCTAAAGAAAAATGGATGCAGCCAGAGGGAGGTGCTCAGAATTAACACCAGTCATTTTTATGACTGTATGGGGTTTTAGAACTGTAATATACAATCACTCCCTCTGTATCTATGGGTTCTGCACCCATGGAGTCATCCAACCTCAAATCAAAAATATCTGTGGATGGGAGGCAGAGCTCTGGAGATCATGGTTTGAGGCCAGCCCAGGCAAAAAGTTGGTGAAACTGCATCTCAAAAACCAAGCCAGGTATGGTGGGTCTGTAATCCCAGCTATCTGGGAAGCAGAGGTGGTGGGTTGCAGTCTGAGGGGAACCCCAGGCCAAAAGCACAAGACCCTATCTAAAAAATAAAGCAAAAAATTAAATAATAATAATAATACTGAAGACATGGCTCAAGTTGTAGAGTACCAGCCTAACAAATGTGAGACCCTGGGTTCAAAACTCCAGTATGCACTCCCCCGAAAAAACAATTGGGGGCCAAAACTGTCTGAGCTGACTATATACAGGCTATTTTTTTCTTGTCATTATTCACTAAATAACATAAGTATTATTATTAGTGTAACAAGTGTTTATATTGTATCAGGTATTGTAAGTAATCTACAAATGATTTGAAGTGGGTGAAGCATACTATAGTAAAAGCAAGCCCAGTTAAGCAAATTCATCAGGTGGAATCGATGACTGTTGAACTATAGTGCTATACAGTATATAAAATGATATCATTTTATATCAGGCTGCAAAAGCTCCTTACTTGTGTATCGCTATGCTCTTATCATTTAGTGTCAAGTCACGGTCCCCCAGGCCACAGTACACTGTTTCTGCTGTGTCCCTTGAGTTCCAGGGTAACACTAGACTGAATCCTATGTGAATCAAAAATAACCTCCAGAAAAAAAGATGACATTTCATTACTTTGAAGCTCCCCACCCCCTCAACTAATGCTACCATAATACTTCTGAATGTGAAAGTAGTGAGAGAATGTATTTTTAATCTGTGTTTTTTAATAACGTTTGCAGAACTCTCCTTCACAGTACTGCAACATCTGCAGTGCTAAGAATCGAGGACCAGGAAGTGCAATTCTGGAGATGAAGAAATAGCGGGATGCAGCTCACCAGTCTCTCCCTTACCTCTCTGTTCTTGCAACCACAAAAGCATCTGTTGACACCAGTGTTGTAAAGAGACTTGTTCACAGTTATGTTGTACTCAGATCAGTTTCTCCGTCTCTGCCTGCCTCCCAGAGGTTTCTCCTTGCTGGTAATAAAGAAGATGGGGCTTTTCGTATGTCTTGAACTGTTCGAGTTCAGAGTCAGTATTTCATCCTTTATTTGTTTGGCTCATCCCTTTTTTTTAGCAAATGAAAACATGTCTCAGATTTAGAAATGAATTTTTTAGACCTTAGTAAAACCATTCAACCATGAAGTATACTGCTGAGAATTATCCTAGCTCTCTGAGAATGTCACCAAATATAGTTATCCAGTAAGCCCTGTCACAGCTTGGATCTTGTTCTCCCATGCTCTGCTGCAATGATTCTGCCATTCTGGGCTTGGCTTTTTTTTATATATGGCATTTAATGAAATGCTGTATAAGTTGTCATTCATTCAGTGACATCTGGGAATAGCATTAGCAGCCAATGTCCTGTGACTTTGTATTTATTAACCCCATTGCTCTGTGCATTCTGACTGGAAGAGTATCTGGCCTTGTCAGGCACTCTGTATTTGTTGGCAGAATAAATGTTTGCTCTTCTCATTTGATAGACATTTACTGGAATGAACAATTGTCATTAAGAAGTCTAGTACTCCCTTAAAGAATAGAAGAGAGTTTCAGCTCCTTAGTATCTGAGACATTGAGTTTAGGTTTTGCAAGTAGGGAGGAAAGCTATCTTGTCAAACCTGAGGGGGATTCTCAAGAGAAATGGGATGGCTTAATATCAGAGACTGGGTAGAGGTTGTTCCTTTTTGCCTTTGCAGAGCCTCATTATAGAATAAAGCATATAATGAAAGGAGCTCAAATGAATCACCATGTCTTACAGTTGTTGACTAGTTTTGTGGACACATTGCCATCCTCTAATGGGTGTAACAGTATGAGAAACTCATTGTTCCTGTCATTGGTTCCATAAACAGAAATGAGAGCAGCCCTCTGCTGCTGTCCTTTGGTGGGAAAATGGGATGCTGATGAGTCCTGAGCACCTGCAGACACCCAGCCTTCACTCAGCCACCACTCAGCCATCCCCATGCTCATCTAACTCAGCATATCCCCAGGAGGAAGATGGTATGCCCATGGGTTTGCAGAAGAAGAAACCTAAGTGCAGAGATGTAGTCATGGTCACAGAGGTGGCTGCCTGACCTCAAATCAGGGCTCCCTGTCCCCTTCAGAAATCCACAGGCCAAATTCAGAGGAAAGGCATGGGCCACCTCTTCATAAGGAAATTAAAATTCTCTAGCAGATAGCAGATTTGTTAATGATAAATATTTTAGGACTGGATGTTTCTCTGTTATTATTGAATGCACTCCTCAGCCCCCTCATATGACCTCATTCCAAGACTAGTATTGTTTCTGCTATACTCCTAGGTTTTAGTTTTTATCAGAAAATTTTGTCTTTAACAAACTTGTAAATAAGCCCAACTTTTTGTTGTTCTCCACATTATTGATTTAATGTAAAGGTTCAGCTTCAGTTTATATCCTTTATGGCTTGAGCAGGTTCATTTCCAAAAATGTTCTGTTATAAAACTATCAATAGGATTTACTAATTTCAATAAGTCATTTTGTTTCAGGGGTGAATTATAAGTCACATTTGAACATAAAGCCCTGGGTACAGAAAAGGAAGAAATAAACATTCTTCATTTTTAAGTGATAAATATGTTCATCCCCCCCATTTCAGAAATAACACATTAGGAAATTCATGAACAAGATAGATCTCATTGTTAATTTTTTTTAAAAACCCACCAACTCTCTCCCTGAAATGATTTTCCTTTTGTATATAAACTATATTGGACATTTGTACTAAGGGACATCTGACAAAATAATCAAAATGCTAGTTGATTAACTATTTTTTCATGTGTGACTAACCCAATTTAAAATGTAGGTCAGAAGCAAACCTATTCCAGTTGTAGTGGCAATGAGAAACACAGTTGCAAAATGCATATTTCAGGTGTTCTCCATATAGAAAACTGTTCTCTGAGTGTGAAACTGCCAAGTTCAAAGATATTTTGTGATAGCAGTTTTATTTTTGGCCAGAAGAATTCTCTACTATTTGATGCTCATCCTTGAAACTTTTTTGAGTGCTCAATAACTTTTTAAATTATATTAGTATATAATAGTTGCACAGGGGGATGCTTGTGACATTTACATATGTGCTTCCAATATATCTTAGTTAAATTTACCCCCTCCATCCTTCTTCCTCCTTCCCCACCCTTCTTAGAACAATTTCAACAGGTTTCATTCTTCTATTTTCACATATATTCACATGTGAAATACATCCACGATAGTCACCCTCATTCACCCTTTCCTTATGCCCACCTTCCTTCCACTGGCACCCATTCCAGCAAAGACCTGTTTTACACTCTGCCCTTCATTTATATTTTTGAAGTATATATTGATAGTTCAAGAGAGTTTTACCTTGGTACTTCAGGCATGTATTTATTGTGCTTCAATCAAATTAACCCTGCTCCCGTTACTTAACTCTTTCTCTGTCACCATACACCCCTAATATTTAAAAAAAATTTGGTTAGTGTATATTTATTGTACAAAGGTGTTTCATTGTCATATTTCCATACATGCATATAATATACTTTGATCAAATTTACCCCTTCTATTACTTTTTAACATCCACTTCTCCTTTCCCCTCTTTATCATGTTTTTTTTACTTTGTAAAAAATAACTTTATTAGCACGTATTAATTGTAAAAACTGAAGAATTTCATCTTAATTTTTCCATACATGCATGTAATATACTTTAATCATACTAACCTACTCTAGTACTCTTTTTTTTTTTTTATCGTTGTGCTGGGTAGGGGTACATTGTGGCACTTACAAAAGTTCTTCTATCAAATATATCATACTTGAGTTCACCCCTCCACCATTCTTCTTTATCCCCCTCCTCTCCTCCCATTCCTGGAATCATTTCAACAGGTATCATTTTTACATTTATATACATATATACACACACAGTGCTTGCACCATACTCACCCTCCTTCACCATTTCCCCACCTCCTCCTCCCTCCCACCATTACCACCCCCACCCACACACACACACAGGACCTGTTCCACTCTCTTTACTATGATTTGTCTTCCTTGATGCCTGATGGAGACAAGTGTAACATCCACTTTCCAAAGTTTCCATTCGCTGGCTTTCTAAAAGTGAACCTTTTTCTTCACTCTCAAAACATGTTGGTAAAGACCTTAAATCCAGATACTATGAATGCCAGAATAGGTCAGATCACCACAGATCAGTTGATGCAAATGGATTAAACTAAAACATTTTTTCTAAAATTAATCCAGATTTTTTCCCTAATTATTCCAAATAGCCTCCGTCTTTCCTTTGGCTTTAACATTGACATGTGAATGATAAATTTTCAAAATCCCCTAACTCATCTTTACTACAGTGATCAGTTAATTTGTGATCCCAAACAGAATGTGAGGGGCCACTGTGAAAAATTAATCCATACCAATGTGTGAAGCCAGTACTCCCTGGCAACCTGAGAAGCCACCTTCATATGACTCACAGTACTATTGGAACCAGAGTTTTGGACCCAAAGCTCAAACTCCTAAGATTCCACATGCCAGGTCGGGCCATTCCCCACTAAATGCCTAATAAAGAAGCATGGTAAAGGCAGAGAAGGATTTATTACATGCCATGGAAAGAGCAGATTAAGCACTCAGCTCATCTTCAGCCATCTTCGGGATATAGACATGAGCTATAAGTATAAGTAGACAAAAGAATTGGGGGTAGGGGACAAAGGTATGCATAGTTAAACAGTCCCAGTCACAGGTGTGTTCTGGTTGACCATCATCTCAGTCCAAGGGTTCTGGGAGAGATTCTGGAGTTGTTACCTGGAGCCAGGCAGGTGGTCCATCCAAAGGAAGGTCTACTATTAGGTATAGTTTCTGTCCCTTGTCATGAAGATGTTATCTGTCTTTTCTAAAATCAAGGTGATTGCAAAGTGACTAGAAAGAGAATGACTTAGAGCAAAGGCAGATACAAGATGGAGTCAGGGATGACAAGCTTCTCCTGTTTTTAGTTAATTGTGGACTCAAAGAGTCAGTGCTTTTTGGCAAAAGCACTTTGAGCATCTCTTACACTATTGGTGCCACACCACATGTAAAAGATTGAAGAAAATTATACACTTAAAGGCAAAACTAACTGTCATTTCTGCCTACTAAGAGATAGTATATATGTCAAACTGATGGATAGCAACTAGACGTAAGCAGGAAGAAAGAAAAAAATCATTGTAATTGAACTTCTCAACTCCACTAATCGCCATTAAGATCAAGCCCAGAGGTTATCACAGGATGGTTTGATATGCTTTTTGATACATTTTTCACCTAAAAGCTTAGTCCTCTCTTTATTCAAGAGTAATCTACATCTTAAACATCCTGTGGCTGGGAGTTTACAAAGATAAACTTAACAAAACAAAGATGCTGCCTCCTTGACATCTGATAGAACATAGGCTAGTAATTTCCAAGAGACACCATCAATTAGAGCAGGTAGTTTATACAGGTAATCTCTAATTTACCAAGACACTGATGCAAACCTATGAAATCACACCAGGGACCAAAAGGACTCAAAGCTAAAACTTCCCCAATAAATATTCCAACCTTAAAACCTGGCTTGTCATTCTCCCTCTAGAGGCAACATACTTTCAGTCTGTTGAAAGTATATTCTTTTCCCAATAAACTTGACTATTGCTTTTACTAATCTTCTCAACTTGCTTGAAATCTTCTGCCAGAAGCAAAACTGAGGTATTTATCAGCACTATTTTTCAGGTAACAGTACCAGGAAGGAGGAAAGTCTTGCTTCCTCTCCCCACCCCCCACCCTTTTTTTATTTAACATCACTGAAACATTACATAAAAATCACTAACAGTGAAGATAATAAAAAAGATAACCATTTCTCTAGCTTCTAAAACTATCCACAATTCTAGTAGGGTTTCTTAATAAAAACCAAAAAGGAAATAAACTCACTGAAGCCCACTGGAATTCATTGAATGTAGCTATAAATTTTAAAAACGTAAAACAATATTATAATGACATGTCTTTTGAACAAGTCTCTATATTCTTTCATTTGTTTATTTAAACTATAATTTCAGTGTTGAAAGATTCCATGAAAATATACTTAATTGAAAGGAATAAAGACAATAAATGACCCAGTTTCCTCTGTTAATCCACTTGACTATTGCTGTTTAGTCAGTACCCATAGAAAACTATGACAGCTCTCCATGAACTTGCACAATTATGTTGCCTATTTCTTCCTTTCAAATGTAAAAATTTATCTTCATTTTGTCTAAAATATAAATTGGCATGTCATTTCAATTTTTCTCCAAAATTTCTAGTGATGTGTATAAACAGGATTCCAGGGCCAGGACCCGATTGCAATTGCCTCTAATCCTAGACACTCTGGAGACAGAGATTGGGAGGACTGTGATTTGAGGACAACCCGGGCTAAAAGATAGCCAGATCCCCATCTCAACCAGTGGGATGATGGGTGTGGTAGTGTCCCTCTGTCATCCATCTATACAGGAAGAGTAAACAGTAGGATCACCATTGAAACTGGCCTAGGCAAATATACAAGACCCTATTTAAAAATAACTAAGGCAAAATGATTAGGGGTATGCCTTAAATGGTAATGTGCCTACTTAGCAAGGGAGAGGCCCTGAGTCCAAACCCTAGTACCATCAAAAAAAAAAAAAAAGGTACTCCAGGTATATCTTGAGAACTTTATGACTCTTACAGTAAACAAACATGGCTGGGTCTCTTGGGATTCAGGATATGGCACAGAACAGTCTGGGATAATGGCTCTTGCTTAGCTTCCCAGGCTGTTTGAAAAGGAACTCATTCTAGGGAAGGAGAGTCAAGGTGCTTCTTTAGTCCATTAGCCAGAGTGTTTATGAAGTTAACTGGTTTTGAGTGCATGATAAGAAGGTGGTAGCATTGAAATCATAATTTGTCCAAGTTGCAAAAACAGTAAGGGCCAAGGA